ATTTATTCAGCAACTCATGCGGGTATGCTCTAATATCTTGATATAGTCTTGGTCTTCTTTTTTAGCTGGTTTTCAATATTTTTCTTTAAGTTTTAACTTTTAAGTTTTCAAAAGTACATAAGTGGTTACATGAGTAAAAACCAAGTTTTGTGATGTATGGTAGCTCGTCACCTTTTTTTCTTTACTTTTGTGCTAGATTTTGTGGTCATATACTAAGAGAGGGTATTTATTGGTTTAAGTTAACTTTTAAAAGTTCATGAACTTCTCATTTTAATGTTTACTATAGGAAAGAGGTGAGAACATACCACCAGAAGATTCATTCAATGTAGCCCGTAAAGTGAAGGAAATGTACTGCTATACTTGTTCAGACATTGTAAAGGTAATGCTTAGTGGTGAATAATTAAGTCAGATAGTATATACTCTTTTAGATAATTAATTTACTGGCGTATATGATGAAGTGAAGAACCGCTTGACATTGAATTTAGGCAGGAAAATTGATACAGATCACTGAACATTCATATGGTTGCAGGAGTTTAATAAACATGACAAAGAACCAGCAAAGTATATTAAACAATGGAAAGGTGTTAAGCCCAAAACTGGTGCACCATACACTTGCGACGTGGGATATGAACGATTCCTTGGACCCGAGGTTTGTTATCATTTTTCTGTTCTAATTCTTAGGTTGATAAGATGGCCAGGAGACCAGGGTTCTATATTGATGCATATTATAAGGAACTTCCAGTAGGATGGGTTAGTGGTATGTGAGTGAGCTGTTCATGATTTGTTATTGATTATCAGATTTCAGTACTTTGTTCGGATTACTAAACAGTGCTAATATAAAATGATACTCTATAATAAACTAAAAAATAGATAATGACTTAGGCCGATTGAGCTTACAAGGACATTGCTTGGACCCATTGGAAGCTGAGTTATATGAATGAACCGAGAGAGTAGCTGGAATGGTGTTCAAGCCCTTTTTTTTCTGCTGCTACCGATGAGTAATGTTGAGATATTGTGTTACAGGTCTTCTTTAATCCAGAGATATACAGCAATGACTTCACAACTGCTTTACCAGCTGTTATAGACAAATGTATACAGTCTGCACCAATTGACACACGAAGAGCTTTATATAAGGTCTGAAACACAAGACTGGTCAGAGTTTTAAGATAATTTCCAATCCATAGTACTGATGAATTTGTGAAATTATTTCAGAATATAGTGTTGTCTGGGGGTTCAACCATGTTCAAAGATTTCGGAAGAAGGTTACAAAGGGATCTTAAGAAGATTGTTGATGCTCGTGTTCTTGCCAACAATGCTCGTACTGGTGGTGAAATTACGGTAAAGTTTTTTGTAAGATGTTCTGCGGAAAAAACGTAAACAGATATATTTCATTGATACTAAACCAGTTTCCATTTTATAACCACAGTCTCAACCCGTGGAGGTTAATGTCGTGAGCCATCCTGTCCAGAGATTTGCAGTCTGGTTTGGAGGTTCAGTGCTTTCATCAACTCCAGAGTTTTTTGCGGTAAGTAAACAACTTCTTCCGGTTTAAAATTGCAGAAACAAGCTGTTTATGCTGTTCTTGCTGAACTGAAATTGTTTATAAGAGAAGTAGAAACCACAGGTTTAGAGAACCTCTAAATTCAAGAACAAAACTCAGGGCTTGATCGGTTTGAAACAATCAATGTCTTGTTGCTGTTGCAGAGTTGCAGAACGAAAGAGGAGTATGAGGAATATGGAGCAAGCATATGCCGTACGAATCCGGTATTCAAGGGAATGTATTGAAGCTGCTTCATAAAAATAATTCATCAGCCAATCCTGTGAATGTCTGTCTTTAAATTTTAGGGGTCATGAGTAATACACACAGTGTAATCTAGAAGTCGATTATTAATTTCAGACAAATAAAAGAAAAAATGTTTAGAAGTCAATTTTTGTATTGTCTGTGAACTTGTACACATTAAATTCCATAGAATATTCCAGATTAATTAAAGTGTTTATCCTATCCTATATTGCGTGTTTTATTTATTTGACACGAAATAAAATAACAAATCATTTTTTCTTATAAATATATCCAATATTTTGGTCTATAACATTTTGTAATAACGCATAAAAAAAACATGTAAATTAAAAAAGTTTGTTAGGACATACTGTTGACATCACGGTGAAGTCTTCTTTTTCATTTTGTTTCTTCTTCTTCTTCTTCTTTAGGATAAGAAATAAAGAAAGAACACGAAGGCGACTCTTACCTCCGATCTCATCAAAACTCTCTTTCGTTTAAGCTCTGCAGTGTAAAATAATTCCGGAGCTTGTCGGATTCTCAACTTCCGTAGACGGACGAGAGGTCGAGCAACAAGGAGTCAAAGTAAGCAAGCGTAGGTTTTTATTTCTTTTACCTTTCGATCCTCGATTTCACGAGGCGATTCTATTTCGAGGCTTTGTAAGCTTTTTAATCCATGTTCTTATTACTATCTCTTTGAAATTGTAACTTTTCTCGTAGATCTGTTTATTTCTCTTTCCGATTTTGTAAGAACCCTAATGTTATTAGATTTATAAATTTCCGAAAGGGTTAAAATTTGTGTAGCCCCTTCATTGTAAATCACACTTATGTATGTAATTTGATCTCTTCCATATGTATTATATGAAATCTTGTATCACCCTTGTTCAAATTGAGCTAGATCCCAAATTCCAGATCTGTAACTCGTAAGCTAAAGTTCTTGTTTTTTTTTTCTTTTTATAATCCTGACTTGTAGATAAGATGTAATTGTACACAGACACATGTATACTTTGATTGATGTTCATCAATGGCTTGTAAAGAGTCTCAGCCTAATTGGAATAGGCAGACTTGTAATTTCTGTGAAAGAATGTATTATTTTGAAGTTCTTCATGTAAAAAAACAGGCGAGGGAGGTTCTATAGTAGGATGTTGTTTGTAATTTTCTGTGAAAGGATGTATTGTATACGTTTTTAATCTTCTTGTATTTTCTGGCCAGTTTGTATAAAATCCAATGACTGAAGAAAACATTGACTATGGAGGTAATCAGAAGATACTACATCAAGGAAGCGGAACTATACCTGCGCTAGCGGATGAAGAACTCATGGGAGACGATGATGAGTACGATGATCTGTATAGCGATGTTAATGTTGGTGAGAGTTTCTACCAAGCTCATAATCCACCTCAACCACCAGCTCAAGTAGGTGGTACAGGTACTGCAAGTCTTCAAGCTCAGAATACTAGTGTTGCTGCTGAACCGAGAATGGGAATTGTATCTGGAGGTACTGTTGAAGGGAAGTATCGAAATGATGGGGGGCATAATGGAATCAATGGACCAGACTCAAGATCAGATGTTTATGCACAAGCATCTTCTTTCGGAGCTAAAGGGTTGAATATTGATATCCAATCTAACAAAATAGTTCAACAAGGATCAACATCTATTGTGTTAAACAACCATGGATTCCCAGGGAATCCGGTAAATGTGCCTGAACTGCCTGTGCATAACTCCTATGGTGCTGCTCCCCAAGGAGCTCAGCAGATTCCTGTTAGCCAGATGCATGTAAATCCGAATGCAATGGTGAACAAAAGCCCTACACAGTCATTTGTTGTGGACAATGGAAACACCATGCTTTTCGTTGGAGAGTTACACTGGTGGACGACAGATGCGGAGATTGAGAGTGTTCTTTCACAGTATGGAAGAGTCAAAGAGATCAAGTTTTTCGATGAGAGAGTTAGTGGCAAATCTAAAGGGTATTGCCAGGTTGAATTTTATGATTCAGCGGCTGCAGCCTCTTGCAAAGAAGGAATGAATGGTTACATTTTCAATGGTAAAGCATGTGTTGTTGCCTTTGCTTCTCCTGAAACACTGAAGCAGATGGGAGCTAATTTCACTGGGAGGAACCAAGGACAAAACCAAATTCAAAACAGAAGGCCTCTGAATGAGGGAATGGGAAGAGGTAATAACAATAACAACAACAACAATATGAATACACAAAACGGAGATGGTGGAAGAAACTATGGGAGAGGTGGATTTGCGCGTGGTGGCCAAGGAATGGGCAATCGTGGAGGTTGGGGTGGTGCTATGAGAGGTAGAGGGGTAAACAACATGGCTAGTGGTTCTGGTGCTGGACCGTATGGGCCTGGACTAGCTGGTCCTGCATTTGGTGGTATGATGCATCCACAGGGTATGATGGGAGCTGGTGGGTTTGATCCAACGTTCATGGGTCGGGGTGGTGGTTATGGAGGGTATTCAGGTCTTGCTTACCCTGGGATGCCTCATTCTTATCCTGGTGTTAATGCGATGGGAATGGTTGGGATTGCTCCTCATGTCAATCCCGCCTTTTTTGGCACAGGAATGGGAACAATGGGTAACTCAGGGATGAATGGAGTTCATGCAGCTGCGATGTGGAGCGAGGCTAATGGAGGTGGTGGTGAAGAGGGTGGTTCTGAATATGGTGGGTATGAAGATGAAACCCAAGAGAAAGAAGAAAAGCCATCACGAGATAAGGAACGGGCTACCACAGAACGTGACTGGTCTGAGAACAGTGGTGATAGGAGACACAAGAGTCATCGTGAAGAGAAAGATAGTCACCGTGAGTATAAGCAGCAGAGAGACCGTGATTCTGATGAGTTCGATAGAGGACAATCTAGTATGAAATCTCGAAGCAGATCAAGAATGGCAGACGATGATCATAGGTCCAGGTCAAGAGATGCAGACTATGGAAAGAGGAGACGAGGCGACTGAGAAAGAACCTCTCATGTACTTGTCTCTCGCTGCATCTAAACAATGCCATTTTTAAGTTATTCTGCCTACTAAATCTATCTCTTTATATCATCAAATACTCGATACAATGTTTCTCTACACTTATTTTACTAATAGTCAGTCTTTGGAGACGAGCATATATATGTAAACTATGTTTTGTTTTATTGATGGTTCTTCATTTGTTATTGTGATTCATTATTGATTCAAGATTGACGGTTGGTTAAGAGGGAGAAGATGAAAAGTGATCTTTATTGGAAATCTTTATTCTTTATTCTCTGCTGCATTCAAGCTTCTTGTCACATATCACAATTATAAAGCATGTAAAAGCTGAGCGCTTTGGCATTTGCATCAAATCATCCAAAAGCCTTAACACAGTTTTACACTCTATACAATACATTTACTTTCTAAAAATCTGTACAAAGTTTGCTTGTCCAGACTCTATAGCAGATTTGAGTACTCGTAATAAACCAAGAAGAGAGCTTCTGGGTAATCCTTGGGAAGGCTATTGATGTAGAGATAAAATCTGAACAAATCTTCCCTTGAAGCCGTCCTTGCATCCACCACGTCGTTATCACCCGCAAGCACCCACAAGTCCTCTGAGTTTACTCTCTTCATGCTGCCACGACAAAACGGGCATGACTGAGACTTCAAGTTCCTGCAGATTTGAGGATCAATGGGAGATTTAGTAAACGAAAGCTCCTTCATCAAGTCAAAAAGGTCTTAAAACTAAAGTGTGTGTGTGTGTACCAATTGCGGTAGCATTTGATGCACATAGAATGACAGCAATTGGGTAACACCATCTTGGTACAAGTTTCTAAACAGATTCCGCATTCTTCTTCACGCTCTAACCCAGCACTGGTGAATCTACTACTGCGAGCCTCTTTAGTTATCTTCTTGCTGAGTCTTTTAAGGTCAAACCCGATGTCTGCGGATTGCAACTCATCTAAGTTGCTGCTGTGCAATAGCTGAAGTGATGGTAATATCACACCTTCAAAAGACAAGAGATTAGGTCCATATATGAAGACACAAAAAAAAAAAAAAAATCCACAAAAAGACTCATATAAACAAACATTCAACAGCGTTTCCATTTTATATGCCCCCAATGAAACTGATCATGTTAAGTAACTGAAAATGAGAAACCTTTTAGAAAGAAGGGCCAAGTCCACCAAAAGCTTAAGCCAAAAACATGAACATTATAACATAAAACGTGATCAATGGTTACAGGTTTGCTTACCATAGAACTCACTAATAGTTGCTTTCCTTCCATGCGTGGTAAGCTTAGGTTGTCCATCAGACTGGACCTATACAAGCAAAAAATAACAACAAAGTGAAAAAAAATCAGTCACCAAAGAAGAAGAAAAAGCTTACACTCAGACATTCAAAAGCCCTAATAAAAGAAGACAAAATGAGTTCAAAGTAGGCATTAAAAACTAACCTTGTAGACAAGAACATGAAAGAGGTTTAGGTAGCGAGGAATAAGACATGAGCAAGAAAGATCAATCCACTGAAGCAAGATGAGTAATAAAGAAGCAAAGTTGCTATGAACCAGTTTCATCTGAAGTCGCACATTGTTCTTCCCCATTGGAATAGCTTCTGCCCTGGAGAGATAATAAGCTCAAAGTTCTCAGACACAATTCATCGAACACAATATATGCAATAACTAGTTTAGTGACCTTGGACGAAGAAAATATCAAACCAACACAACAAATTTCCAGAATTCCCCATTTGAGAAAGCTAAAATCTTCAAACATAGCTATTATAAAACCAAACCAAAAAAGTTATCGAAGTTTCCTAAAATAACCCAATTTTGATATAGAAGAGAAAGAGAGAGATTACACACACAAAAACCTAATCATGAGCTGGGTTTTACAAAATTTCACCTAACTAATAGCTCAACTAATCAAAACAACAACAAAAAAAAGTCTGAAACTTTAGGAGAAACCCAGAAAAGGGACTTACAAAGAATTAGCGTGTTGAACATCAGCTTCCAAAATCTTCAAAGATTCATAGTACGAAGACGAAGATGACGATGAAGAAGATGAAGATATTGCCAACTGATTATACATATCTCTCTCTCTCTCTCTCTAAGATTACAACAAAGAGGAAACCGATTGAAGAAAAATAAACCCAGAAGATATAAAGACAGGGAAAGAGGAATAAGAAGGAAGAAGATGCTAAAAGTAAAGAAGGGATTGATTGGTCTAATTGATCGGAAAAAGGCAAGAACCTAAAAGACAAAAGACAGAAGCTATAAACACACACCGTAATAACAAAGAACACAAGTCTCACTTCTTCTTCTCTCTCTCTCTCTTTGCTTTTTTGTTTTGCCTTTTTGATTCTTTGTTTCACGGTTGCTGCTTTATTTAAATATATAAATATTAATCATATTGTTGTGGTTTTGAAGAAGAAGAAGAAGAATCATTCGTATTCTTTCTTACTTAATTACAACAATTAATGGTATGTACTTAATTAATTATTAAAACATTGAGTTGAGATGGCTTTTTGTATGTGAATGAATATATACATAAATTAATAAAGAAGTCGCTTTCGTTTCAATTGTAACAGTTTTTTGGTTATGGGTTTGGGAATAAATACCTTAAGTGAATATAGACAACAAATATTACAAAAACCCAAAGTGGAACAACGCGTGTGTATGTGTGTGTACTTTGCCTCACTAATAAAACATGTTTTCCCTAAACCAAGAATCAACCCCAATTTGGTCGATCTATATAACAAATTTAAACCTTTACTTGATCTTTTTGAAAATTTTGAACAAAAACTAAACAAAAGAATGATGTTTTTCGTAGTACATTTTCATCAGTTAAAATTTTATTATTTACGATAATTTTAATAGATTATAAGTTATCCTTCACTTTATAATTAGTTTCATATTTTAAAATTTATTTGTTTACCTGATAAAAAATTGATTAACATAATCAATTTAAACTGGATACTAGGAGTCATATTCATATTCTTTCATCTGCTGGTATATAGTCGTAACTAATAAACACTATTTTGGTTTTAGTATCTCAAATTCAATTCTATATAATTTGTATATAAAGAACAAGTATCTATGTTTTGCTTATATATTGCTGATGTTTTTCTTATTTCTTCACTTATTTGATCAAAATTAATTCTTTTATCTAATTTTAAATTTTCAAACAAATATGTATCAATAGAGATTGTAGATCTTTCAATTTATAAGGGCATTTATAGACGAATGAGAATTGATGAAAGGTAAAGAAAAACACATGTACAAGCAAGCTGCGTTTGTCGCTTTCAGTACAAGTGAAATTGCTAACGAGAGTCGAATATTATTTAACGAGAGTCGAATATGGAATCATGATATCACTAATATTGTTTAACTATTTCGTGAATATATTCACTTTTGTATTCTTGAAATTACTATGACGAGAACTAAACCGATGACGCCTAAGTCAAAGATTGAGAGAAGATTTGGCTCTCTATATAAAATCCCACTAGTTCACGTTATGTACTTTTATGTTTGGTAGTTATATCTTTATTTTTATTTTGTGATATTTAAGACACCATTTTAAGTTGCCTTAAATAGTAAACTCTGTCTGGTCTTGGTGAATTATGGCTGTTATTTCTCTATTACTATGAGTAAGACATACCATATTTCTATATTAAACATATACGCATGTATGTCATTGTCTCATATATATGATCTCGACCTAATTTAAACCTCTATATTCGAGGTTTAATAGATTATAAGTTATTCTTCACTTTATAATTAGTTTCATATTTTAAAATTTATTTGTTTACCTGATAAAAATTTGATTAACATAATCAATTTAAACTGGATACTAGGAGTCATATTCATATTCTTTCATCTGCTGGTATATAGTCGTAACTAATAAACACTATTTTGGTTTAATGTCTCAAATTCAATTCTATATAATTTGTATATTAGAAAAAGTATCTATGTTTTGCTTATATATTGATGATGTTTTGCTCATTTCTTCACTTATTTGATCAAAATTAATTCCTTTATCTAATATTAAATTTTCAAGCAAATATGTATCAATAGAGATTATAGATCTTCCAATTTCACATTTTCACGATTCATTCTTGAATTTTTAACTTGATCTTTCACGATATATTTTTTTAAGTTAATATGTATCATAAATATTAAAATTTATTATTACTATTATTGTTTTATTAATTGATGATAAGTAGAACTCTAAGGTGAAAAATACAAAAAGAAACACAAATTTTGTTTATTTGCACCTATGTATATTTTTGGACAAAAACTAATTACAAATAGAATGATACAATAGTTAGCAAATATAATAATTGCATAACATGGTGAGTCTTCATAATTAAGCCTTATTTGTTATGCAAGCTTAATTTTTTTTTGCTCTTGCTCTTCTTTTGTGCCTCACGCTGAACTTCACTCTCGGGAACGTTGAGCTTTTGAGCGATCAATTGTATCATGTTCTCACCGTGTTTATCAGATCTGTAGTACTCTTTGACAATCTTCTTAATGCTGTTCTCTCCATGTTTCCCTACCGCAGTAAAATATGAAATTATGTGAAGTTAAAAGAGGAAAGGATGCATTTATAGACGAATTAGAATTAATGAGAGAAACATGTATACAAGGAAGAAGCTGAATGCATTTATCGCTTTCATTATTGTCAAACGAATAATACCTTGATCAAGAAAACCATATACCCAAAACAAAACTCAACATTAGCTTGATGAGTGATGACTCACCCCTCTAAGGCTCTAAGCAAAATATTGTCTCATATACATTTATATGATCTCGACCTAATTTAAACCTCAATATCACTTTTTGATCTTGTTCATACAAAGTACACATGCATGCAATCTCCACCTCCTTTGAAGACTGTAGAAAAAAGTGAGGATATTCATCTTCCAAAATGTTTATTATTTATCAATTATAATACACTTTGTATAACAACCCGTAATCTACATGAAGAAAAAATGCTACATACAAATAAAATATATGAGTGAAGCGATCCCTTTTAGATCCCTTTTCAGGCTAGCAATTACATCAAATAAAGAAAAGAACCCTAGCTCTTCTCCCATATGATAGCTTTATATACACATATGCACAAACACCGAGACCCTTCTATTTCGCTTCTTTTCAGAGAGCGATGAAATTCTTGTTGAGCTGTTCATGAAACCTACCGAAACATTTCGGTTGCTGCCTAAACATTTCGGTTGCTGCCTAACCATTTCGGTTAGTTTGTGTATGTCGAAAAGAGAACACCAAACGATGATCCAAGAGATTTGGAGGTTGAAACCATCAGAAGACACATGGGAGAAGATGTTTAGCATAGACTTGGTTTCTTGTCCTTCTCCTCGGGTTGAGAGTCGCGATCAATTTTATTTGGAGCCAAAGTTACTTATTTCCCGAGTTTGATCTCTCATATCTAAAAGAACCCTATACTCTTGGTCTTGGAAGAGACAAACATTTGTGCTTTGCATTATTAATTCTTATCCTTGTTTTCTTTTAGTTTCCGTTAATATTTTTATTCTAAAATTAGATTAAAAAAAAAAAGAATTCAATTTGGTTAATTAAGTAAAGAAATAAGCAAAACATCATCAATATATGAGCAAAACATAAACACTTGTTTGTAGATACAAATCATAGATAACCAATCAGGACCAATATTGTCTCACCGTATTTGAAAGCAGCAACAAAATAACATGTCCTCGTTCTATCAAGTATCAATGCGAAATATAGGGAAACATGATGATCAAATTGATTGGTGAGCACCTTAATTAATGTTTTAAAAACATTGAAGTGCAGAAGGATGCTATTAAGCTATGCGGAAAAGTGTTTGTGGAAATCTATAATTTGTATCTACAAACAAGTGTTTATGTTTTGCTTAAATATTGCTTATTTTTTTATTTTTTTTAACCAAATTCTTTTTTTATTTTACAAATTGAATTCGCTTTATCAAACTTTAAATTTGATGAAAGAATATGTAAAATCGATAGAAATGTTATTTTTCACTCTATCTTTCACAATTTCATCTTATCAGCTTCTTTCTGCACTTCACTCTCTGAGACCTTGAGCTCTTCGGTAATTCTCATGATATGAAACAAAATGATGACTCATCCCTCTACCCAAATCGTATAACTAACCGACTTCCAGATTTTCCTTGCGCTCTTTAATAATGCCTAGTAACAAATTATATTATATCAATCCTTCTATCCCAACAAATATATTGAAACAACAATATAAACGGATCTCATTTTTCTAAAGGATTAATCCTTAATTTATGTTGTCTCTATACCTATGTGACTTTTTAAAATTAAGAAAATGTTAATTTCATCAGAAACAGAGTAAATATACAAAAGCGAGAGCGTTTTTGCTAAGCTATCTCTATTTATGTTCTTCTACATTTGCTATTTTTCTAAATCCCTGTTAAAAAAAAAACGTGTTATATATAAAGAAAAATATAGGATATTCATCTTCCAAAAAAGTTTATAATTTATCAATTATAAATACAATTTGTATAACAAACAATAATCTACATGAAGGAATAAAATTGCTACATACAAATATAGGAGTGAAGCTAAGCGAACCCTTTTAGATGCCTTTTCAGGCAAGCAATTACAACAACAGATAAAAAAAAAGAACCCTGGCTCTTCCCCCATATCTATGATATCTTTATATACAGGTACATATGCACAAACACCGAGACACTTCTATTTCACTTCTCTTCAGAAAGCGATGAAGTTCTTGTTGAGCTGATCATGAAATCTACCGGACCGCCGTACACTAGCGGCTCTTCTCGCCGTGAAACCAACAGTCGTGGGCCGAATCGATCTCTGTCTAACCATTTCCACAAACTCGGGATCATTAGAATGACCCTCGTACCGGATCCACTGAATCATTTGATGGTATCCCGGGAAGAATCTCATCTGAACTGACTTGAAGACGAAGTAAGGGATCAAAGCGAAGAACATCACGAAGAGAGTGGTGAGCCAGTAAGATGGAGCTGGAGCTAGGGCTTCGATAAAGACTTTGTAAGCATCTGTGGAGAAGCTAGGAGCGATGGCTCCATAGATCATGAGGAAGATGTACCAGAAAGCAACTGAGCCCCATATCACAATATGTTGGACCCAAGTGAAGTAGCTTATGGCTAAAGCCATTTGGAGATTGACGACCCAGACTACGCAAGTGTACATTGTCCCGCCAAGGATTTCTCGTCCGGCAGTTTTGCCATTAGGGTTATAGATTTGGTGTTTTAGAGATTCCTTGCAGAGGAAGAAAATGGCTAGGGCTGTGAAGACTCCGTTGAACATCCATCCGATGATTCTCTTCCAGCTGAAAAGAAGATTT